AGGTTATTAAAACCGATTTCGACTAGCACAAGTGTCAACGAAATTGATTGACATTCTATTTATTAATTCGACTATTAGAGGGCTCAATTACTCTCTCGCACGCCCTTCTCTACGAATATGAGCTTAAGAAGTTTCCCTTTATATACATATATATTTTATGGAATTGGGTTGCATTCCTTTGTCTCTTACATTTTTTTTATTTTTCATAATTCATTCATTTTTTCAATCATTTTTTTCTCAACTTCATTATACCACTTTTAAACATTTTTAATGGGTTCAATGACAACCGTGTCCAATAGCCAACTAGAGCATGTAAAAATAAATATGGAAGGTTACAAATAGTTTTATTCCATGAATAAAAATAATAAAATATTTCTAATATGACAAGCACATTTCACTTTTATTAAGAAACATATATAAATATATGTATGTATATATATATATATATATATATATATATATATATATATATATATATATATATATATATATATATATATATATATATATATATATATATATATATATATATATATATATATATATATATATATATATATATATATATATATATATATATAATATAAATATATACAATTTTTTAGCGATAGGAAATTCTACAATTTAATTGATTTGTTTTGATTGCTTTTTCTGGGTAACAGGGACAAACTCTCAATTGAAATATGTTGATAAATGTTGTAAGTGGATAAGAGTATATAAACTATAAAGTGTAACTCATCTCGTGCCAAACTAATTTCATGAACTATTCATTAACACATAATTAAAAAAATAATAAACTAGCATGGCAAAATACACATGACATACATATATAAGTTACTCTTAAAGTATTAACTGTGACTTTGGCTGTAATTTTTCGTTTGAAAAGAGTTTTGATTTATTAAGAATCAGCTCATTAATTTGCGACAAAATGCTAATTTTTAAATAACATTTTTGATCAGTAGAAAATCCACCTACAGATGTTTACCTATCGATGTTTATCGTTATTTGGAAAACTTAGAACAATATTTAAAAAAAAATAAATAAATACATAACCAAACCCATTGATCCGCCTTTCAGACCACACCAGCTACAACATTAACCATATCTTATCGTTTTTAAAATGGCAACTTACTAAATAAAATAGATATGCTTTCTGGGGTTACTTTACAATAACAATGAAAACAAACAAAACACACGAATTATTAGTTGTTCGATGAACCACAAATCCAATCTGAATATCTTATGAGTGAAACACCAAAGGATAGCTGCAAGTCATCAAAATAAATCAATTGAGTTGCGCATGCATATTCAAATGATCTCATTTTTGATTATGTTGTGCCAGCATAAATGTTGGAAATATATTTCACGGAATCATGTTACCGTGACGTAAACAAATTGGCACAGGGTGTGGCCAGCCACACAATAAAAATACAAATAAAAACTTATTGAAAACTCGAACAACCTTTGTGCTCACAAAATCAATTGACAGTGAAAGAGAAAGAGAAATGTCGAACGATTGATTCTACGGTTAATGTCAAGTACTCATAGCAGGTGAACCGCTTGAGTTTGTGCTTGTGGCATCCAGGTGCAACAGATAACTAGACACAGAATACAAAAAAAAAATGATCCTCATCATAATTTCAAATGCAAACCAAACGCACAAACAATCAGCCGGTTTTAGCAGAGCAGACAACAGTCCCCAGAGTTGACTGCAAATGGCAACAAATGATGCGGGGAATGGCAACGTGACGGACTAGCTAAAACAGCTGGCATAGACGCTGCTCGATCAGCCAACCCATATTTTGCCCAGACCCAGACCCAGACCTAGACCGAGACCCAGGCAGCAACAACGATGACAGCACGCTTCGAGATTGTGCAATGATAAGCGCCAGGCAAACACAAATTGAGTAACCGTTGAGCGAATATGGCACAGGCTACAATTGAAGTGTCTAATGCTGATGACTCTCAACCCATTAGAAATGAGGTGAACACAAATGAAGCCTGGGCAATAATAATTGGCTGACGGCCACTTAAGCGCTTGGCAACGTCAACTCTGAATTTTAAAAATATACCATAATATATATATATAGTCTCTAAAATATATACTCGATGGGGATAAAGTAGTGTATCTATTATTTAGTATTCGTGGCAGGCAACAGACGAAGAACGCACAAGACTTTTATTTTTGTTTTTTTTTTTTAAATGAGTCAAAAACGTGACAAAAGTATTTTTTTATCATTTTATTTATTTAAAACAATTTGATATTTTTTATTATTTTGTTGTATTTTGAGCATTTTAATTAATGATCGCTTCTAAGAATTGTTTCATCTTTACATTAGGTGCTCACTTAATTTAGCTGTCAAAGCTTAAAACCTAGTAAATATCGGAAACCTGTTGTTGCAGATCAGTTTTGAACGGACACAACTCTAGATAATCAAATGCCATTTGTCTACACTCTTGGAAACCAGTCAGAAGTATGATGTATACGAGTAAAACACGTTATTAGATGCCAACAGCAATTTCCAAGTACACAACTAACAATTATTGTTATCATATGTTACCAGCTACCAGCAACTTTTCTTTCTGCTATTGCCGCTCAGCAATGTGCAATTGAAAATGAAATTGAAATTGAATCAAATACGCTACGAATGCGGTTTACCTAGAATCACAGCCAAGTTTATAGCCAGTACTTGACGAGGCACTTATATGTACTTGCGAATTGCACGTATTTATGAGTGGCTGTATAATTTATAAATCCCAATTATTTTGCTTCACATGGGGAAGATAAAATCACTTCAAGTGGGTTCAACAACACGGTAAGAACAATATTAAGAAAAATAAAATGGCAATGTTCTGCTTAAAACAAAAAATCAACAATAATTGGTATACATATTAAACATAGAAATACTTCAAGAAATACATATGGAAAATACATAAAATAGTGGTCACTTTTTAGGTGGTTTTGAATTCTTAAATAATTTGATTGAAGTAAATTATTTAGGTTTACTAAGTGATTAAGACTTGCTAATCATAATAAATTTACTATCAACAAAGCACTTCAAGGCCTTGGTCTTATTATCATAGGAATTTGATCTTTACTTTTCGCTCTTAGACGTTCAACTCTGGAATACGGATATTGTGTGTGCTCGCCACAATATATAATCCAATACAAAATTAATTTAAGGTTTTTGATCTTCGTCGCTAAGACTGAGGGTTATTAACTACACACACCGATAGACTCCTTGTTATCAACTTTCCCTCCCTAGCTAATAGTCGACTTATGTCAGGCTTAATGTTTGTAGTTTAGTTACTAAATGGTGAAACCGATTCCACTGTTTTGAAGAGCAAAATTAATTTTTCATCATCTCACTTTCTCTTAAGCTTTGTACTTTCTTACATGGACATTTTCGCATACTCTGTGATGATAACATGCAATCAGTTCAGAGTCCTCTATTTCTTTCATTAAGAAGTCAATTTTAAACGTTTGACTCTCAAATAAAATTTGCATTTGCATGTGTGTTTTTGTTTTTGATTTTTTTTCAGGGTTTTCCCCAATCCATTCAACAAGTTTAGCATTTAAATAGTAGTTACATTTTGTAAAACTCGTCCGAATATTATTGACTAATGTTATTACTTGATTAAGTCAGTTGAAGGTAAGGTAAGATTGTTTTGTATTTAGCAAACATATTTTTCCCTTTCTAAATTTAAAGCAATTATGTGATTTGTCCCTTTTTTGTTATCGTTTAGCTTCGTAAGCAAAGAACCGAAAAAAAAGGCTAACTAGCAAAACAGCAAAGTCTTGTCGACTTTTCATTATCCCATATGTATTCTGTAAATACTTAAATCGAATTCAATCTCCTAAAGAGGATAAACATATTTGTATTGGTATTTGCATGGTCGCAAACGTGACATTTGACAACTTAAAAGGGCATTAAATCAAAGAAACCTTCAACATTTTGTGTGTAATTTTTATTTTTAGATAGCCTTTTAGTAGCTTTATGTTTCGTGCAAAGAACAGACTCTATTGAAAAATAAAATAAGACAAAAATATTATTGAAGTTTTATTTCTTTTGTTGCACATTAAAGTTGTAAAGTTCTTATTATATACTCTCTCACATATATCTTGTATATATGTAAACTGTATTACATAAGAACAAGATAAAGTTAACAAAAATTTTTTCTTGTTTTTTATCACGTTGCATGTAAAAAAATTCTCATATTTTATTTTGTGTTTCGCAATTTTTCTAATACTCTTCATAAAGCCACTGACCACATAAAAACTCTTTCAAAAGCATCAATTTCAAAAGTCTTTGAATTGGGCTCTTAAGCTACTTTGGAGCACGCAGCTCACCCTACCATGCCCCGCCCCCCGCAAATATTTAAAGTACGCCCTGCAAGGTCGAACAGGAACATAAAAATGGTCATGCTTGCTGCGCGAATTCTGCGCAATGTTGTTGTTGTTTTTGCTGTCGTTGTTGTTTTTGCTGATTTAGTCAACTGTTGCTTCACCCGCTTTGCCCGTTTTAATGATGTCGCTGCGAGCATAGAATAGTAAAATACGAAAGAGACGAGGCGTACCATGAAATGTCCAACAAGAACTAGTTAACAAGTGAAAGAAGCAAAAACAATACAAACTGAATTTGAGTGCCCAAGGCAAGACACGAGTGATGTGTCTAAGGAAATTACAAACATTTTGGCCGTAGATCAATTAACAAAAAATTATAAAGAAATATACATATGTATGTTTATGTATAGGTACACATTTGACAATCTGTGCATTAGTATATGCTTAGGTTTTTCTCACATGTGTTTTGTATATAGTTATTTATTTTTAAAATACACATTTAAGCGCCTAAGCAGATGCAATACATACATACATAGGTGGGAATGTGTTGGAACTGTTGCCGCAATGGGTTGCATAAATTTGTTAATTGCTATTTTTATATGCGAAACTTGGCGACAAAAATCGAATCGAATATTGAACAAAACTTTCCACTCGCCTGTGATAAAATTGGCATGCTTCTGCTTCTGTTGCACTTCAATTGCCGTCAATGAGTTGTTATTATATCAACGATCATCATATGCCTATGGTTCATACTTTAGATATGCCACTCTGTGGCCACACAATTTGTTGGTTATTCTTTTTTATTGATTTTAATAGACAAAATATACGTTATAATAGCGAGCAGCACGTGAACTGAACTCTATATAGAGTCCACCAAAACATCGCACTTTGGTATCTATTATTTTTCTATGTTTTACATTTCACCGTTTCGCAGATTTACTGTTGGTTCTCCGAATACATCTGGCATTGCATCGACTGCACGTTTATTTGATCAAAATTTGTGTTTTGATCTTTGTTCATTCGGTCGGTCGCCTGCGGCATGAGAGCCGTCGTTAGACTGTTCACCGCTGAGGGATGATTCTGTTCCTCTACTCAGGTATATGCGAATATCGGCCATGACTTTGAGAGTGTCTACGCAGCAACAACAAAACTATTGAAAACACTACCAAAGAGCAAGAGCGCAATTATAAAACACGGAAAACACTATGCTTGTACAATATTGCAATCGCTCGACTCATAGATACCCTGCACTTGCGCTAGACCACAAGCAATTTATTTTGTATACTTAAAATTAAAATTTTGCAGTTTTACGATTTGAAAGTCGAAAGTATTTTTTTAATTCTGCCTGCTTACATTATTTTAATTGCATTGAAGAGCGCATTTAAGCTGATTTGAATTTAAGCCCTTTCGGATGCAGTTTGCGTTTGCATTGCCTTTGTTTTTGTCATTGCCATTACCACTGCCACTCAGTTGATAGCACCGTATTTTATTTTGCTTGCTTTGCATTGGATTGCTCTGCTCTGCTTTGTTATTTATGCGTTTTGCATACAGTATACGCGACCTGCTGTGCTCGTGAGTCAGTTTGAACCGGTTCAGTGTGCAAGGTCCGAAACGGTGTGAGACAAATGTGTAATAAATACACTTATAATGCAATTTTCATAATCCTTATGATTGCTCTGTGTTAGAGTGAGTCAAACGAAAAGCGGGCACTTTGCCAGAAATTAATGTATTTACTGCAAATTACGCGCAAGTAATCAAATTATTTACAACAATTTCCATAATCACGCAATACTATTTGGTTGCACATTTTTCAAAGAGCAATATTCCCACAATTCTTATATTTCACATATCATACATTTCCGAGTGTAATTTTTAACCCTGTAACTAGTTACTAATTAATTATACTTTTCTTATATATTTATTAAATATTAATATAATTCTTTAATTTGGAACTTAATTAGTATTTGTATTTAATACACAGTAATATTTAATTAAATCCATAATAAAAATCCATAACAAAAAATGCAAATTCTTAAATTGTTTCAGTGATGTATTGCCGCTATATACATATATTATATTATTACATATAATTATGAGTCGTTTTTCTAAATGGCCCAAAGTAACCTAAAAATGATCCACAATTAAAAATACTCAAAGACTCAGTTTCAAATTAGAGATCTATTTTAGTTATACGTTTTGCTTACAAGCCATTTTTAACCAAAATTGCTACGCAAATTCCTGGTGCAGGAAAGTAGCAATCAGAAAGGAATAGCACAATTAACGATCAAACATAAAGCAGAACTTTTCACAAACTCATAAAAAACAACCCTCTTCCCGAATGCAAAAGAAAATCTCAAGCAATGAAAAACAATAAAATGCCTTGCAACATAATGAAGATTACTTTGACGCAATATAAATAAATGGAGACGAGACAAAAATTGCATGACTCTCAAAATAGGATTGAGTTTAATGCATTTAGTGTAAAATAAGTAAACTGCTTACTTTTATGTACTTACATTATTTACACTTATTTACATAAATTGCTAAACAGACCCAGATAAATAGTCTTGTTGTTTTCATAATTAACTAAACGGAAGAAGATTAATTTCGTAAAGATAAATAAACTTATGTTGTTCGTATGTCAAGACAAATGTTTTCTTTTCTAACAAATAAAAACACATACGAGCATGCATACGCATTAATACTAATATTTATTCTGATTGTGCGTCTCCGATTAACTTCCTGAGAGCATTCAAAGCGACGCTTATCAAAATGTCTACGACCTTCACCGTGAATATTTCGTGAGTCGGAAACGTCATCTTAACAGTCGAAAGAATTGTTGATTACTCATTTTTGACCGCTGTCGACTTAATCCAAATATATCAAAAAACATTTTCTTTGAATACGACCTGAGCCAGTTGTGCTTTCAGAAGCATTAGAACTTAATGCCAGCAATTTGGAGGCTCACCAAATTCAAAACAATAACGCTATTGATAGTTAGACTACTACAAGGACAACAGCAGCGAGGGCATAAAGATAATGGTTATTGGATCGACTAGGAAACGACAAGAGGATTTTTCCAATATTGCCAAGCTTTTTAGTGACCTTAGTTTGGCACAATGGGAGAGCGTTTAGGAAATGGATGAGTAATTTTAATGACAAAAAAGTTACATAAGTGAACATCTTTAGGGTAATGATCTGTTACTAAAAAAAAAGACAAATTTTGCTGGCAGTATAGCAGACGTGATCCTGCAATTAACAAAAAGTTTACGTCGTGATGCTGATTAAAATCTGAATAACGAATTTCACGATGAAGATTAATTTAATAATGAAGATTCAGCAATGTTTTCAGAACGGAGGCGCTATAAAGATATGGCATGATAACTAGCGGATCAGACAGCGCTAATCTGAATTAAAAACAAAAGTGACGACAAATTGAAATTACAGAAAAATATTGCCGATTCCCTTTTAGCTTTAGAGACTTGTAAGACTAAATAACACCGTTTACAGATGGCTGAGCGATGATTAAAAAATTGAACATTTTGAAGATGAATTCATTTCATTTGAGTTCAAGTATTATTCAATTGATGAAGTACCTGACGCGAGTGTTAAAAAATGGATGCTGTATTACACAAAAAAAAAAAGAGAAGTTAACATTATACGTACATGAAAATAATTTATCTCGCAAGGGAAAATATAAAAGCGTACGTAGATATGTGAAAAATAGAATAATATGCTACTGTTGTGGTCAAAGGCATACCCAGCCATACTTAAAAAGATTCCAAGCCGTATGCTCCCCTTGCGCTTTCTCATTGTTCTTGTGCAAAATGATAGACTTCAGACATATTCAATCAAAAGGATAAATGTTCTTAATTGCCAGCATTTAGTGATATATTGATGTGCAAAAATGTAAGTATTTCAGAAAAGAATTTCGTGGTATTGTACCATTAAGCAGACAACACAATATTATATAATATATATAAATATTATATGTAAATTAAACAATTCATTATTGTGTTTTATTTAAAAAAAAAACCGGATCGTTTTCTTTGAGTGTTTTATTAGAACTAATGTTTTAGATTTAAGCTAATAATAATTAAACCTCCGACTTCTAGCTCTGCCGATCTGGTCACTGTTGTACGATTGGTGGAAATGTCGGATATCCCTTCTGAATGCCATGGCGTCTTAGTTCCGCGGTAATCGTTGATTTTGGGTATTTTACACTGGTGAAATATGCTGTCAAGGCGATAGTTGGTTGTGGGTATTTCCGACTGAGTCCAGCATTGGTGAAGATATGATATAGCTTGGCCTGGGTCATTAGTTTGAGTGCGTAGGCTATTTGTAATAATAGTTCTTAACTTATATATTGTCTGCTTAGTGATCATAGGCAACCAATCCGGTGGAGCAATCAGAATCAGAATGAATAAGTTCTATCGCATTAGCAAGAAAGAAGTGATGTTGTTCCAAGTTTTTGCATACTTTTAATCGATTACGGAAAATCGATAAGTACAATTGTATCAAAGCATCATATATATCCCAAAATTATAAAGCTATATTGCGCGCCCACAAAAACGAAAGCCTTTATCTATAACTGTCTTATAATCACACAATTAAAAATAAATATCAATTACAAAATTTTTCAATGCTCAAGCCACACCCACCGTCTGTGCCCTACCACAGCACCTATGAAAAGGGACTTTGATGCTTGTCATCAGTTGGTATTGGAGTACAACGAAAGAGATTGCAAATAGCTTTTGGTAATACATAGTCGAATTCATTGTTCTTCCTAATATATATACAGTGTCTCGCAGCTCAACTGGAACAGCGCCTAGCAAAAAAGTTAATTGCCTGCCATAAACAAATTATTCAATATTTTTCAAAAATTCCAAAGACCGATGGTAGGTACATATATTTACTACCTAAATGACTATATGACCCCCATAAACTGGGGTTTTCCCATCGGCTAGGCCGGGTTATGTAAAAAAGTACCTTAATTTATGGTCACATATTATGTGGAACAAGGGCGTTATGGACACCTGGGTGCCATAAAACCCGGATTTTTTACGTCAGGTTGATTATTTTCGGTATAAATAGACCTATCCTTCGTAGTCAGTATATTTATATCCTGCATCTCGGGTTCCACCAGCCAACAAGGACTATTGACAAACGGACTACCATTGGGCAACGTAATCTCATCCTGGAACACTTCAAGATTGGATTTTCACATCGCCAAATAGCTAAAATGGTAAATCTGAGTACCACCACTGTATTCAACATCATTCGACTCTTCGTCGACGAAAATCGGATAGAGGACAAGGGCAGAAATGCACCAAACAAGATTTTCACCGAACAGGAGGAGCGGAGGATCATCAGGAAAATAAGGGAAAATCCAAAGCTATCGGCTCCAAAACTGACTCAACAGGTGCAGGATGAAATGGGGAAAAAGTGCAGTGTGAAAACTGTGCGCCGGGTTCTGCGCAACCATGACTTTAATGCCCGAGTACCACGGAATAAGCTCTTTATAAGCGCCAAAAATAAAGGGACTAGGATGGCATTCGTCAAATTACCCACTTGGACAAGGATTTGCAGTTCTGAAACAAATTCATATTTGAAGATGAGCCCAAATTCAACATTTTTGGCTCAGACGGACAAAATTATGTGTGGCGACAGTCCAATACTGAGCTGAGTCCCAAAATCCTAAAGGCAACAGTCAAGCACGACGGAGGAAGTGTCATGGTATGGGCTTCTATCTCGGAAGCCGGCGTCGGGAATTTGGTGTTTTTTGAAACAACAATGGACAAGAGTGTGTATTTCAATATACTAAAGGAAAATTTACTCCAAAGTGCCAAGAAGCTAGGAATCCGACGTACTTTCCGGTTCTACCACGACAACGACCAGGACAAAAGCCAAGCATAAGTCCGGATTAGTACACTCCTGGCATATCTGGAACTGCCCCCACACGATAATTCCACAGGCCCAGTCTCCAGATTTAAATGTTATTTAAAATTTGTGGGCTCTGCTGGAAAATAACATCAGGAATCACAGATCCGATCT